ATTTTTAACAGCAGACGGTGCTCTAGGCTAGTTTTTAACAGCAGATGGTGCTCTAGGCTAGTTTTTGAACAGCAGCTGGCAATTTAGGTTAGTTTTTAACAGCAAATGGCGCTCTAGACTGATTTTTAACAGCAGACGGTGCTCTAGGCTAGTTTTTAACAGCAGATGGTGCTCTAGGCTAGTTTTTGAACAGCAGCTGGCAATTTAGGTTAGTTTTTAACAGCAAATGGCGCTCTAGACTGATTTTTAACAGCAGACGGTGCTCTAGGCTTGTTTTTAACAGCAGATGGTGCTCTAGGCTAGTTTTTGAACAGCAGCTGGCAATTTAGGTTAGTTTTTAACAGCAAATGGCGCTCTAGACTGATTTTTAACAGCAGACGGTGCTCTAGGCTAGTTGTTAACAGCAGATGGTGCTCTAGGCTAGATTTTTAACAGCAGCTGGCAATTTAGGTTAGTTTTTAACAGCAGATGGTGCTCGAGGCTAGTTTTTAAAAGCAGCCTGTGAGCTAGGCTAGATTTTTTTATCAGCAGATGGTGCGCTAGGCTAGTTTTTTTTAACTGCAGCTGGCAATTTAGGTTAGTTTTAACTGCAGATGGCACGGTTGGCTAGTTTTTAACAGCAGACAGCGCTCTAGGCCTTTTTGACAGCAGCTGGCAATCTAGTTATTAACAGCAGATGGTGCTCTAGGCTTGTTTTCTTTACAGCAGACAGTCCAGACAGCGCTCTAGGCGAATTTTTAACAGCTCTAGGCTATTTTGCTAATTTTTTTAACAGCAGATGGCACTCAAGGTGGTGCGGTAGTCTAGTTCTTATCATCAGATGGTGCTCTAGGCTAGTTTTAACAGCAGATGGTGCTCTAGGCTTGTTTTAACAGCAGATAGTGCTCTAGGTTTGTTTTAACAGCAGATGGAGCTCTAGGCTAGTTTTAACAGCAGACAGCGCTTTAGGGTTGTTGTTTTTTTTTTACAGTAGACTGCTCTAGGGTATTTTTTTTTATCAGCAGATGGTAATTTAGGCCAGTTTTTAACAGCAAATGGTGCTCTAGACTGATTTTTAACAGCGGGCGGTGCTCTAGGCTAGTTTTTAACAGCAGATGGTGCTCTAGGTTAGTTTTTAACAGCATGCAGTGCTCTAAGCTAGATTTTTCTACAGCAGACTGTGCTCTATGCTAGTTTTTAACAGCAGATGGTGCACTAGTCTAGTTTTTAACAGCAGATGGTGCTCTAGATTAGTTTTATAACAGTAGATAGCCTTTGAGGCTAGTTTTTCACAGCAGACAGCACTCTAGACTAGTTTACTTGCATGTATCACAATAACTTATAACAGCTTTTGTAATGCAGAAAATAATAAATATGTACATAATTCCATCAAATCTCAGTTTCAGTCACAACTTCCCTCTCACATTAAATAATATGAATGATTATAAATTGGCAAATTGTGTTATACAACTGATTCTGTTTTTATGACTGGATTCTGTTGATTTGACTGATTGTTGTGATTCCACAGGTTGAGGAACTGTTAGAAAAGTACATGGACTCTTACGATATTGTCCTGGCGAGGGATGAAACACTTGAAGTGCCTAATTCCATACTGCAGAAGATCTTATAATCGACACCACAGAACACAGCCTGCTCAGAAAAGACTCGTATTCCAGGATATTCGGAGTCTCCTGGAAATTTCCAGCACACTGAGGCCGGCCTTTATACTTCCACATGCCTCACAAGCCATACACACTCTGCACCCCTTTTAAAAGTTATTTCCAGTCGAGATAATGAACTATTTTAATAAACACCTACATCCAAATTTTTGGTGTAAACGAATATCAAACGAAAAAAATGCATCACATCGTTTGCAGATTGGTACAAATTATTGTTTGTAGTATTTTTGATATGGAAACCTGTGTATTCATTGTTTGCAATAAACTTCGGGACTGTGAACGGTACCCAATGATACCTCGCGTTCATGAACGTCGTGAATGTGCACTTTTCAATTCGGAAGATCTGTCACAGTTCTCGGGGAATCTTTGTATCTCGTGAGTACGCAGGCTGCATGCACAGATCCAAATTAAAGCTATACTGTAAATGATTGCTTTCAAAAACAGTCATGATGTGTTGTTAGTGTTGTCCTATGTGAATGTTTTAGCATAAATGCTCATCGTTTTGGTGTTGATATTTGCACCTTTTGTTCACCTGCAGGTAGGCAATAAAACTTTGTTTGGTTTTTTTTCTCCAGAATGTTTGATTTTATTAGATAAGGCAAGAAAAAAAAAAACTTTGTGGATGGATTGTATTTCTGCACAATTATATCGCTAATGGATTGCGATATTGGCACTGTATATGCAATATACACTCACCGGCCAATTTATTAGGTACACCTGTCTAACTGCTCGTTAATACATTTCTTATCAGCCTATCACATGGCAGCGCCTCAATGCATTTAGGCATGTAGACATGGTCAGGACAATCTGCTGCAGTTTAAACCAAGCCGAATGATTAGAAACAGAGAAAATATCCAGTGAGTGGCAGTTCTTTGGGTGCAAATGCCTTGTTGATGTCAGAGGAGAATGGTCATACTGGTTTGAGCTGATAGAAAGGCAACAGTAACTTAAATAGCCACTCGTTACAACCGAGGTATGGAGAAGAACATCTCTGAACACACAACACGTCCAACCTTGAAGCAGATGGGCTACAGCAGCAGAAGACCACACCGGGTGCCACTCCTGTCAGCTAAGAACAGGAAACCGGGGCTACAATTCGCACAGGCGCAACAAAATTGGATTAAGGATTAAGGCAGTTCTGAAAGCAAAAGGTGGTCCAACCCAGTACTAGTAAAGCGTACCTAATAAAGTGGCCAGTGAGTGTATACATAACACACAATGATTTTATGCATTGACTGCATATTTAAATTTGATCAATCAGATGGGGCCTTACTAGCTTAAACCCCACCTTCACAGTAGTTACTGTTCTGCTATTGGCTGAAGCAGCCCAAAGGTGAACCCAGAGCTGAAAATAAACACTAATGGCGGGAGCCGAGACGAGGATAATGACAATGGCCAATCAGATTCAGAATATCAGCTGACATTTACTTACTTATAGCGTTTTAACTGTGTCCACATTGATGCATAATATATTTTACCAGTTTTTTATTAATTTGAAAACTTATTTAAAACCAGCTGGGCCAGTTGGCATTTCTGTGTGGAGTTTGCATGATCTCCCCTTGTTGGTTTCCTGCGGGTGCTCCAGTTTCCCCCACAGTCCAAAGACATGTGGTACAGGTGAATTGAATAAACTAAATTGACCGTTGTGTATGTGTGAATGAGTGTGTATTTATGTTTCCCAGTACTGGGTTACAGCTGGAAGGGCATCTGCTGTGTAAAACATCCTCGACAAGTTGGTGGTTCATTCTGCTGTGGCTGAAGGAAAATGAATGAAAAAAGCATTTTAGGGAAGTATTATTATTATTAGTTTATATTATTAGTAGTATTGCCTATTTTTTTAGTATCATGCAGCTCTTATAAATGGTTGGAAACAATTAATCAACTATAACTAGGTGTTAATTGGTAATAAAGACCATAATTTTATTCTTACTTTAATGGGTGATGTTTGTATTATTGGAAATATGAAATCCTATTCATTTATCATTTATTTTGAGACTGATTTCATAATGGCTGCAGTGATACTGTATGTTCTACAGCCGTTAAATACCGCCTAGTTACCTTTTCACCACTGTATAGTGTATAATCTTATTAACAGGTTTTGGTTATTAGCCTCCCTGAATTATTAGACCGCCTGTTTTTTTTCCCCCAATTTCTGTTTTACAGAAAGCTGATTTTTTAAAACACATTTCAAAACATAATAGTTTTATTAACTCATTTCTAATAACTGATTTATTTTATCTTTGCCATGATGACAGTAAATAATATTTGACTAGATATTTTCAAGACACTTCTATACAGCTTAAAGTGACACTTAAAGGCTTAACTAGGTTAATTAGGTTAACTAGGCATGTTAGGGTAATTAGGCAAGTTATTGTATAACGATGGTTTGTTCTGTAGACTATCGAAAAAAATCTAGTTTAAAGGGGATAATAATTTTGTTCCTAAAATGTTTTGTTTTTTATTAAAAACTGCTTTTATTCTAGCCGAAATAAAACAAATAAGACTTTTTCTAGAAGGAAAAATATTATCAGACATACTCTGAAAATTTCCTTGCTCTGTTAAACATCGTTTGTGGAATATTTTATCTTTGCCATGGATGTTTTCCAGGGATGGGTTGCGGCTTGAAGGGCAGCCTGCGTAAAACATGTGATGCATAAGTTGGCGGTTCATTTCTGTTCCGCAGGTCTTTGGACTTGTGGGGGAAACCGGAGCACCTGGAGGAAACCCATGGAAAACATGGGAGAACACGCAAACTCCACTCAGAAATGCCAACTGACCCAGCCGGGACTGGAACTAGCGATGAGAACATACCAGTGCTGACAGAAGGTGGCAGCAATGCGCAAGACTTGCGATACGCCTATAGAAAACTGCAGAAGAAGAAGCGGTAAAAAATAAAAACAGAAGGAAAATGCCTGACATAAATGAACCACAGGCTTTAATTAAAAGATTCAATTTACCCTTTTTCATTTCAAACACATGAGGCTAACAAAAATTGAAGAAACAAGGAGAGCGACATCCAAACAATGGCTGTGAGAAGTTTGTTTTTATGTTTTGAATGTTAACGCTAACTTACACTGTTAGATAGATCCGCCGTAATTTATGTAACGTTTAATAAAAAAGCTTAATAACGAGTTATGTGTCATTAGTTTACGTTGTTATGTAGTGATATTTGTTCCTGTACTAAATACAGCTTTTGAGACATAATGTGTTGTATTTACATATTTAATAATAAATGCTACAGCGTACTGTAGTAATAACTATCGTGAACTGATAAACTGTAATAAATACTGAAGTACTTTAGTATTTGCTACTGTAGAAAACGGTTATTTACATCACTATAAGTTACTTGTATTACCACAGCGACTACAGACTTGCTACAACACTTGTATTTAATGTAAATTAAATTATATATATATATATATATATATATATATATATATATATATATATATATATATATATATATATATATAAAACCATCATTATACAATAACTTGCCTAATTCTCCTAACCTGCCTAGTTAACCTGATTAACCTAGTTAAGACTTTAAATGTCATTTTAAGCCGTAAGAAGTGTCTTGAAAAGTATCTAGTCAAATATTCTTTACTGTCATCATGGCAAAGGTAATATAAATCAGTTATTAGAATTGAGTAATTAAAACTATTATGTTTAGAAATGTGTTGAAAAAATCTGCTAAACAAACAGAAATTGGAGAAAAAAAATAAACAGAGGGGCTTATTCAGGGGGCTAATAATTCTGACTTCAACTGTATATATATATATATATATATATATATATATTAGCAATTCCATGCAAATGTCAACCTTGCCATGAAAAAAAATTAAGTTTTGACAAAAATACCAAAACCGTTTCTACATATTTTGTGCAAGCAAGTATTTTACAGTGCTTTAGAAATACACAAAAATGTCCGTCAATGTTTTTAAACAATTTCATTTGATTTACCGAAATCACACAAGTGGCGATTTCACATCTGACACATCCATAACAGAGAGATGTCAAATCCAAAACAAAGCTTTTCCCTCATAAATGCAAAAATAATGAATAAAATCAAAATCAATCATGTTTGTTCTTTAGAGAGTCGACTCTTATCCTTTTGATTAGCATTATTTTGGGGGGTCGTGCAGTTTATTTCACATAATTTCTACAAAGTATGTTGTATACTGCAAACTCACAGACTTTTGGTCAAATCCATATAACACATCTTTGTTTTCCTCATTTAAAGTACGAAACATGTTTACAGTTTGATATTTTTCTGATCTCATACCTGATTGTTGTGTTGTTTTGTAAAATATAATGTTCAATATAATGTTAACATATACTTTGTCAATTTATGTTTCGTGTTTTCACTGCAAATGTCACATCCTTAACGCTGGAATTGCTTATTTATATTTTTTATTCATGTGGGTTTAACCTAATGTTTGATGTTATTTTCTGTAATGTAACTGACATGTTGAGTTTTCTTGTTTATTCAGCACATCACAATTAAACTGAGAGGTCAAAAGCCTCAACCAAACCCCTGGCATGCAGATGCTACTTTATTCACATGCCCTTTCTGCACAAGTGACGTATATAAACCAAGACAGTACCATCAAATAATGGCCCATTTAGCTGGACATAAACTGAGGGCTGTTGAATATGGAGGTGAGTGTGTGAGCATTCCATTACTTATACTATACCATAAGCTTGTAATTGTTCAGCAGTGTAATTATAACTCATAAACACATTTGTTATTTTTTTGGTTAATATTGTTTTGAAATTAATCTGTTAACCTGTGTTTTAGCTCAAGTTATATACGGCTGCAACCTTGGCTGTGGAGAAAAGACCAGACATTTTCATTGCTGCGAGTGTCCCAAGATGTTCACCAATAAAAATCACCTTAGAATTCATCTCTGTAGCGCTCATCCGATAGCCACGAAACCGCCCAAATCTCCTTTGAAATCTCAACCAGCATCTCATCCACATATAATTGAATCCCAGCAACTGGAAGATGGTCCACAGGAATCACCAGCTCCTCCAGTGACTAAGAGAAAGCAAATCTCTATGCCATGTTTTCATGGGGTGAGTCTGATTTATAAAAAGTTAATAGGGTTAGTTCAGCCAAAAATCTATATGACCTACACTGCAAAAAAATGCTTTTCTTACTTAGATTTTGTGTCTTGTTTCTTGTCCAAATATCTAAAAATTCTTATATCAAGAAACATTTTCTAGACAGGCAAAATATGTTGTCTTGTTTTTAGATATAATATGCCAATATTAACAGAGTTTACCCTTAAAACAAGTTAAATAATCTGCCAATGGGGTAAGCAAAATAATCCTGCTTTTCCTTTTGACGTAAGATTATTTTGCTTACCCCATTGGCAGACTATTTAACTTGTTTTAAGGAAAAACTCACTTTATTTTGGCATATTATATCTTAAAACAAGACAGTGTGTTTTGCTTGTCTATAAAATTCAGCTTAATTTAAGAGTTTTTAGATATTTAGACTAGAAACAAGACAAAAAATCTAAGTAAAAAGAGCATCTTTTGCAGTGTATTCATTTACTCACCTTGTATGTTTTTTTTTATTCTATTGAACACAAAAGAAGATATTTTGAAGAATGCTGGTTGCATTCCAAAAAAAAATGACTATGAATTCATTGGGTGCGGGTGAAATTGCAATCCTCCCTACTAATTTGTACGTACCGACTCGTACATCCTAATTCATAGCATAAAAAAAACTGGTCAAGGTGGTCCCAGATGACCTAGTACTTCCGGTGAGCTTCTGAAATGCGCATTCAATGGATGCTACGCTATCCCATGATGCCTCACAAGAGAATTCATAAATGAGAGTGAAGTGACGCAGTTGATGCTGGTAGGCCACCTGATTATGACAATTGGCATTCATACCACTTACATTCATACTACACTCACTGGCCACTTTATTAGGTACACCTTCCTAGTATCGGGTAGACTCTCTTTTGCCTTCAGAACTGCCTTAATCCTTCGTGGCATAGATTCAACAAGGCACTGGAAATATTCCTCAGAGATTTTGCTCCATATTGACATGATAGCATCACAAAGTTGCTGCAGATTTGTCGGCTGCACATCCATGATGTGTATCTCCCATTCCACGACATCACAAAGGTGCTCTATTGGATTGAGATATGGTGACTGTGGAGGCCATTCGAGTACCGTGAACTCATTGTAATGTTCAAGAAACCAGTCTGAGATTATTCGCTCTTTATGAGTGTTATCCTGCTGGAAGTAGCTATCAGAAGATTGTTACATTGTGGTCCTACAGGGATGGACATGTTCAGCAACAATACTCAGGTAGGCTGTGGTGTTGACACAATGCTCAATTGGTACTAATGGGCCCAAAGTGTGGCAAGAAAATATCCCCCACACCATTACACCACCACCACCAGCCTGAACCATTGATACAAGGCAGGATGGATCCATGGTTTCATGTTGTTGATGCCAAAATCTGACCCTACCATCCGGTTGTCAGTTTCTGAAATACTCAGACCAGCTCTTCTGTCACCAACAACCACATTTAAAGTCACTTAAATCACTTAAATCACCTTTCTTCCCAATTCTGATGCTCAGTTTAAACTGCAGCAGATCGTCTTGACCATGTCTACATGCCTAAATGCATTAAGTTGCTGCCATGTGATTGGCTGATTAGAAATTTGCGTTAAGGAGCAGTTGGACAGGTGTACATAATAAAGTGGCCAGTGAATGTATATAGTACATACTTTTATGGCATTCCTGTAGTAAATTCAAATGTACCTTCTCACGTAGTAGGCGATATCGAATACAGCCAATAAGTAAACAGCATTCTTCCAAAACAAAAGAAACTCAAATAGGTTTTGAACAAATGAGGATGAGTAAATAATGACAGAATTTTGCAATTTACCATATGAAACAGTGTAATTTACACTAAGATGGGACTCTTTCCTTATAATTAAAATAATGAATTAAATCAGACTACTTAGACCAATGGTCTCAAACTCAATTCCTGCAGGGCCGCAGCTTTGCACTGGTTAGCTCCAATCACCTCCAAATCATACCTGCTTAATAGTCTCTAGTAGTCTTGAACACCTTGATTAGTTGTATCAGCTGTGTTTGATTAGGGTTGGAGCAAAACTGTGCAGAGCTGCGGCCCTCCAGGAATTTGAGACCATTGGTCTAAGTCAGGGATGTCCAAACTCGGTCCTGGAGGGCCGGAATCCAGCATAGTTTAGCTCCTACTTCCTTTAACACACCTGTCTGGAAGTTTCTAGTGTACCTAGAAAGAACTTGATTAGCTGGCTCAGGTGTGTTTAATTGGGGTTGAAACTAAAATATGCAGCACACCGGCCCTCCAGGACCGAGTTTGGAAACCCCTGGTCTATATAGTCTGTTTTAATTTATTATATTGATTTGAGACCTATGAACTATGAACACTGGTTGATCAATTATTATTCATCTGCCAGGTGCACCTATAGCAGGATTAATATAACAATCAACTAATTGTGCAGCAAATATTCAGTGTTACATTTTTTCCCTTTTGTCCATAAAACCATTGGTGATACTGATAACTTGACTAAAATCTTTCTGGATGATATAACTGTTTAAAAAAACAGCTAATCTTTGCTAGTTAGCTTGCAAGACTATAATTCTAACAGATTTCTCTTGTCTATTCAGCACATCACAGTTCAACTGAGAGGTCAAGAGCCCCGACCAAACCGCTGGCATGCAGATGCTACTTTATTCACATGCCCTTTCTGCACAAGTGACGTATATAAACCAAGACAGTACCATCAAATAATGGCCCATATAGCTGGACATAAACTGAGGGCTGTTAAATATGGAGGTATGGAGTGTGTGAGCATTCAGTTTCTTTGTAGGGCTGCACGATATATTGCAAAATTATCTGTAACGCGATAAAAGTATATGCCATATTAATTTATTCATTTTCCTTTAGCCTAGTCCCTTTATTCATCAGGGGTTGCCACAGTGGAATGAACCACCAACTTATCTAGCATATGTTTTACACAGTGGATACCCTTCCGGCTGCAACCCAGTACTGGGAAACACCCATACACTTACATTCGCACACATACAGCAAATTTAGTTTATTTAACTCAACTGTACCGCATGTCTTTGGACTGTGGGGGAAGCAGAGCACCCGAAGGAAACCCACACTGACATGGGGACAACATGCAAACTCCACACAGAAATGCCAATTGACCTAGCCGGGACTGGAACCAGCGACCTTCTTGCTGTGGAGCGACAGTGCTAACCACTGAGCCACCTGCCGCCATATGTATCGCATCATATTGAATCAGGCTTTACTAACTTTATCCCCACCTCCCTAATAGTTGCTGTTCTGCTATTGGCTGGAGTGGCCCAATGGTGACCCAGAGCTTAAAATAAATACTAATGGAAAAATGACAACAGCCAATCAGTGTATATTCTGGGAATTTAGCCTAAGGATCAGTGTCCTAATTCCACAGTACTCAACAATATCGCATATTTTTCCAGTATCGTGCAGCCCTATTTCTTAGTAATACTTTATTACTGCAGTTGTTAACTATGAACTAAGTGAAAATTATCTTATTTTTGGGTAATCTCTGTTTTAGATCAGGTTATGTACTGCTGTAAGCTAGGCTGTGGTGAAAAGGCCAAACATTTTCACTGCTGCCAGTGTCCCAAGACTTACAGCAATAAAGAGGATCTAAAAAGGCATCTTTGCAGCACTCATCCTGTAACTATTAGTACTCCAAAACTTCCTTGTCAAAAACAAGAACCTCGCCCATCAGCAGAACCTCCCTCGGAAAAAACAGCGTCTCATCTGCAAAAACCTGATTTGAAGCAACCTAAACCTCCTCAACTAAAATTAGCAGCTAGAAGAGAGAAGATGAAGAGAAAGCAAAAAACTGCGGATGGTCCTTATGAGGTCGGTCTGAATTATAAACATTAGAAACCACTTGATTTCCTACTGGCTAAAGATACTGTAACTGTCATGACCTTTTTCCTGATAAAGGATCTAACATGCGTGTGAATGTTAAGCAAAGGCAAAATTCAAACTAACAGCTAATTTCTCTTGAGGTTTAACTGCCTGATTTTTCTTGTCTATTCAGCATGTCACGGTTAAGAAGAAAGGACAACAGCCTCAACCAAACCCCTGGCATGCAGATGCTACTTTATTCACATGCCCTTTCTGCACAAGTGACGTATATAAACCAAGACAGTACCATCAAATAATGACCCATATAGCTATACATAAACTGAGGGCTGTTGAATATGGAGGTGGGTGCTTAGTATTACTTTATAAGTTTAAGGCCCAATCCCAATTCCATTTTTCCCCTTGGCCCTTAAAACAGAGTGTAAAGGGGAAGGGCTTCAAAATTTACCCCTAAGAAATGGGACAGCACTACATCACCTGCACATGTCATCATGTGTCATCGCGATCTCTTACTTCATATGAGATCAGATGATCGCGCTGGAGTTTTTCAGTTGAGTTATTTCTTTGGTATTTATCTTCGGGAAATCCCTGAAGGCAACAACATTGTTATCATAACGATCTAATGTGGCTATAAGATCATAACTACTGCGCATTTACACAGTGGCCATATTCATCTATGTAAACACACAAAAAACAACATTAGCATTATAGAAGACTCTGTAAAAAGCTCATTCCCAACCACTAGACTTTTCTGACAGGGTGTTTGAGTGTTAGAATGTTGTGGGACTGCTATACAGGAGTTATGATTATGGATTATAGATAGCGAAATTTTGTAATAATTTTTTTTTTTAAAGCATGATGGTAAAACACGAATGCGGTTATGAGTATATTAAAACACGTGCTTGTTTGTGAAAATTCATAATAATGAAAAAAATTCTAATTTGTGCATCTCCTTACTTCCGTGTGCAGCGACTCTGCTGTTGTAGCTGGTATATTCTGGGAAATTTTCTTACCCCTTGTTTTCAAGTGGGGTTTCGAAAAGTCTCTATTTGAAGGGGTATCTAGCCCTTCCCCTTAACCCAATGTCTTCAAGCTATAGAGAATTGGCAAACACCTACCCCTTCACGTAAACGCGCAAAATGAGAGGTATGGGGAAGGGCTAAGGGGTGGAATTAAGATTGGGCCTAAATGAAGTACTTGATACAAAATTACCGTTATGTTATTAATTACTCACTCTCATGTTGATACAAACCCCTGGGACCTTCATTCTTCTTCAGAACACAAATGAATACATAAATTTGATGAAATCTGAGAGCTCCCTCATCCTCCATAGACACCAACAGACCAGACTAGTTCAAAGTCTAGAAAAAATAGACCATATGCCTTCAGTGGTTTAATCCGAACATTATCAAGCATGTAAAATACTTTTGTGTGCAATTAAAACAGAAATAGCTTTATACTACAGTTTCCTCTGTGTCAGTATAGGGCGCACCTCTGATGTATTACCTAGGATGTGCTTGTGCTCTGTTTTAAATAATGGAAGTTGTGCGCAGGTATCCAGAGGCGATACAGATCCACATGTGTGTGTGTGTGTGTTTGTGTGTGTTTGTGTGTGTTTGTGTGTGTGTGTGTGTGTGTGTTTGTTTGTGTGTTTGTTTGTGTGTTTGTGTGTTTGTGTGTTTGTATGTATGTATGTATGTATGTATGTATGTATGTATGTATGTATGTATGTATGTATGTATGTATGTATGTATGTATGTCGCGCAAGAACTGAAGACCGAGGTGGGGCACTTCAGATCATGTGCACTGCACAGGTTGAGCCCTATGTGTGCACGTGCCTGAACCTTCCTATCTATAGAGGATAAGGGAGCTCTCAGACTTCGGCGAAAATATGTTAATTTTTGTTCCAAAGACAAACTAAGGGTTTTGAAATAACATGAGGGTGAGTAATTACATCATTTTCCTAACCTTTTAACATACAGTGCATCAGGAAAGTATCCATAGCGCTTCACTTTTTCCACATTTGTTTATGTTACAGTCTTATTCCAAAATGGATTAAATTCATTTATTACCTCAAAATTCTACACACAATACCTCATAATGACAATGTGACAAAAGAGTTTTTGAAATTGTTGCAAATTTATTAAAAATTAAACACCTGAAAAATCACATGTACATCAGTATTTACAGCCTTTGCTCTGAACTTTGTTGATGCACCTTTGGCAGTAATTACAGCCTCAAGTCTTTTTGAACATGATGCCACAAGCTTGGCACACCTGGCTCTGGGAATCTTTGCCCATTCCTCTTTGCAGTACCTCTCAAGCTCTATCAGGTTGAATAAGAAGTGACAGTGTACTGCCATTTTCAGATCTCTCCATCTCATCAGACCAGAGAGTTTGGTTTCTTCTGGTCTGAGAGTCCTTCTGATGCCTTTTGGCAAATTCCAGGTGGGGAGTGGCTTCCGTCTGGCCACTCTACCATACAGGCCTGATTGGTGGATTGCTGCACAGATGGTTGTCCTTCTGTAAGGTTCTCCTCTTTCCACTGAAGAATGCTGGAGCTCAGAGTGACCATCAGGTTATTGATCACTTTCCTGACTAAGGCCTATTTCCCCCGATCACCCAACTTAGATAGCCGACCAGCTCTAGGAAGAGTCCTGGTAGTCCCAAACATCTTCCACTCATGGATGATGGAGGCCACTGTGCTTATTGGAACTTTCAGAGCAAAAAAAAATTTTTCTGTAACCTTCCCCAGCCTTGTGTCTCAAGACAATCCTGTCTCGGAGGTCTACAGACAATTCCTTTGTCTTCATGCTTGGTTTGTGCTTTGACATGCACTGTCAACCCTGGGACCATATATAGACAGGTGTATGCCTTTTCAAATCATGTCCAATCAACTGAATTTACAACAGGTGAACTTCAATTAAGCTGCTGAAACATCTCAAGAATGATCAGTGGAAACAGAATGAACCTGAGCTCAATTTAGAACTTTCAAAAACGTAAAAAAATGTGGAAAAAGTGAAGCGCTATCAATACTTTCCGGATGCACTGTATCTTATGAACTAAATGTGAATGCATGTTCGTTCATTTTACTTATTATTGTGCTTAAATCTCTGTTTTAGATCAGGTTATATACAGCTGTAAGCTAGGCTGTGGTAAAAAGGGCAGACATTTTCACTGCTGCCTGTGTCCTAAGTCTTACTGCCTTAAAGAGGATCTAAAAAAGCATCTTTCCAGCGCTCATCCTATAGCTACCTGCACACCCGACCCACAAGCAGTAAGTCACACACTACAAGAACCATCTCATCTGCAAGAACTTGATTCACAGCAACATGAACCTCATCAACTAGAATTAGCAGAGATGGAGAGAAAGCAAATATCCGTGCAAGGTCCTCAAGAGGTCAGTCTGAATTTTAAACATGTTTTAAAACGAACCTGGAAATTGCTCTTAAGGGTAACAGATTGTGTTTTCTTGTCTATCAGCATGTCACAGTTAAGAAGAAGGGTCAAGAACCTCGACCAAACCCCTGGCATGCAGATGCTACTTTATTCACATGCCCTTTCTGCACAAGTGACGTATATAAACCAAGACAGTACCATCAAATAATGGCCCATTTAGCTGGACATAAACTGAGGGCTGTTGAATATGGAGGTGGGTGTGTGAGCATTTTTTTTCTTTAGTGGAACTTTTTTAGTAAAAAGGTGTAATTGATCATTGAGTTATTCATGTTGTAAATTATTATTTAAAATTATTTGAGAGAACGAGATTATTATTATTTTTATACTATTATTTTATGGTGAGTTAGGGCAGGTCGAGTTTTCAGATTTGACTTATTAAAGTCACACTATGATATTTTCGAGGGTGCATATTCACAACAAAAATGGCATCATGGGAGTTGTGGTTTTCATTACAATCTATGGGACGTTTTTTAAAATGTTAGTTAGTATGTTATGTCGTAAGAATATATAGTATATTCTGTTAGCTAGTGTGCTCCAAAACAGTGACAGAATTCACATTTAGAAGATATAAACATCCAAAGCTTCACCTAAATGGATCGATTTTTTTTTTTCATTCATTCATTCATTTTCTTGTCGGCTTAGTCCCTTTATTAATCCGGGGTCGCCACAGCGGAATGAACCACCAACTTATCCAGCAAGTTTTTACGCAGCGGATGACCTTCCAGCCGCAACCCATCTCTGGGAAACATCCACACCCACACACTCATACACTACGAACAATTTAGCCTACCCAATTCACCTGTACCGCATGTCTTTGGACTGTGGGGGAAACCGGAGCACCCAGAGGAAACCCACGCGAAGGCAGGGAGAACATGCAAACTCCACACAGAAACGCCAACTGAGCCGAGGTTCGAACCAGCAACCTTCTTGCTGTGAGGCAACAGCACTACCTATTGCGCCACTGCCTCGCCCTCGATTTTTTTTGTTTTTACATTACCTTATACTTCAGTTTCCCATTAAATCCTCTAGCCAATAAAACACCCTCTAGCATCTGACATGCCTTTAAGATGCTTCTCATTTGCTTTTCATTTGATGTGCTTCAGCTCAACCACGCTCTCTGGCCAAGCTGTAATAAAAACAAAACACTATTGGCTGTTTTTTAAAAAGGGGAGGGGCTACTACATGCCCCTTTTTTCATGCTTTAGTTGAGATTACGTCAATCGTTGACTAAATTAAATTAGAGCTCTTCACAGAACCTCTAACAGTTGGATTATATGTAGAGATTATTAATTAAGCTAGTCATATTAACTTTATTTAACCTCTTTTTATAGATCAAGTTATATACAAATGTAGCCTTGGCTGTGGAGAAAAGACCAGACATTTTCACTGCTGCCAGTGTCCCAAGACGTACATCAATATAAGTGACCTAAAAAGGCATCTTTGCAGAGTTCATCCCATAGCGCCGTCTACTCCAGAACCACAGCCTGGATCTCCTCTCTCCTCATTCTCTGTATCTCCGGTTGGTAGTCCACTACAGGAACCTTCTTCTCTATTACCAGCACCGAACTTATCAGCGAAGATTGTTATAAGAAAGCGAATCGTACAATGTCCTCACTGTGGACTCAATCTGAATTCGAAAAACTTGAAGAAACACATAGAGCGCAAGCATCAGACATCCACGCATCCTATTGCTTCAACCTTACCAGCACAGTGTGTGGATAAAAAGAATGGAATATATGTCGTGTCAGAGTCATTTTTGGAGCCCTGCACCCTCGTCCACGTAGCCAAAAGGTTTTGGGGCTCAACCCACAAGGTTATGTGCGAAATGGACATTTGCAACAGTCGTGTTGCAATGGCACAAAGGAACCAACTTTTGGTCAGACAATGTTTGCACCTGAGCTCAGTAGACTATTGCTGTGCTGTTGCTCCTACGGAAGGTCTATCAGAGGAGGTGCTGGATCAGATGGTGGACCAAAAATGGTTTGACAACATAACGAAAAACCAATGCCTCAAGCAGCAAAACCGCGCTAAAAGTGAAGGAGCGACATTTACTAGCCTTGTTACTATCGGAGGATCCGACAACATGTATTATATATCAATATTTGAGCCAGAGGTGGCACATTACTGTAAATTGGGCAGAGTCTTGGTGAATTACAATGCTAAGACAAACACTTGGGATTGCCCTTGTAGCGAATCTGGAAACTCCTGCCTGCACAAGAGTATTGCAAAGTGGTGTCTCTTTCAAATGAAGAAGCAGCTCTTCAAAACAATGCCAAACGCAGAGGAAGAGATTGAAAAAGAGCTACAGGAGGCAGATGGATGACTCTAACAATATCTGAATGCCTAGATTAGAAGATGGAGTTAACTTGTTACCAGAAGTTCGGCAGTTGGACCACGCCTCACTTTGCCTCCTTAACCAATCATCTACTCCCTAAAACTTATTTAAGGCAGACTAGCCCTATTCGTCCTGTTCTCTCAAACCCACCCTCCCACTCTCTATTTGCTTGTATCCCATTGGCAATACATTAACCCTCACTTCCCTTCTAGGTTGAATCGGGGGATCCAATAACCAAAATATTACAGAGACGGTACCCTCACTCTGAATCTCAGATCATCATCATTGGACACACGTTAACCTACCTACTGTACCTGTTACTTCCGTTCCCCTACATCCTACTGTTCCCTTACCACCCCTTTTCATCCCTACAATAAAGCCTAGCTCAAAGTGTGGCGAGGTCCATGCTGGTGAAATCAGATTTAACAAAAAATGCAGCTGTTTGTTAAAAATGTTTCCTTGAAAATCTTTTAAGTTTGTGAATCTTGAACAAAATTCAATACAATTTAAATTCATGGCCCTGGAAAGGTTTTGAAAATAAACATACATGTAGACGTTTGATTTTTGGGAACATTTTAAACACACGACTAAGAGAGAGCAAAGAGCTTAGAACAGGGGTCTCAAACTCAATTTACCTGGGGGCCACAGGAGGCAAAGTCTGGGTGAGGCTGGGCCTCATAAGGGATTTCACAAAAAAAAAAGTCCTCAAATGTCATTATTAACAGTTTTAATGATTTCTTCTGAACATAAAGTGTCCTGAACATTAATAGAACATTGAGTGAAGATTATGAACAGTTCTTCTGAACATGGCATCTTTTGCCTACTTCTTGCTGCCAGAGACTTGACAGCGCTTCTTCTCACAAATCTGAACCACATTTGGCTTTAGAGCGGAAGCAGTTGAGACCCTCAGTATGGCTTGAAGATGATCATCATTAAGTCTAGACCTGTACTTTGACTTATTGAAGTTCAAGGTGGAGAATAACTTCCCACACAAATATGTGCTCCCAAAAAGGCACATGGTCCGCTTGAACCCCACTCCAGTCACATCAGTCTGTACCAGTCTGTATCTACCTATAATATATATAAGATGCAGGCTGTAGCTAGGTAGGTGGCAGGCTGCAGATAGGTAGCTAAGTGGCAGGCAGGGGCGGGAACAGCTTACCTTGGTTCTGGCTGGCGCGAGTTCCCTCCTAACACTTCCCGCCCGTCACAGCATCTAACAAAGGGGCGGGGTGCGTGGTGACGTCACTGGCATCCCCGCCCCTTTGTTTACATGGCGGGCGGGGAATGCCAGTGACCGCTGTGTACGGATAGAATCAGCGGAGCGGGGAGCGCTCTCTCTCCCCGCTCCGCTGATTCTGTCAGTGTACAGCGGTCGGCGCGGGCCACAAAATATTGCACTGAGGGCTGCAAATGGCCCGCGGGCCGCGAGTTTGAGACCCCTGGCTTAGAATGACAATGAGGCGACACTTAATATAACGGTCCATTGCAACAGCAGCGCCCAGCAACAGCCCCACTATTCCGCCATTTTTGAGTGAAAGAGATCGGCGGTCCATTCGATCACATTGCTGTCGCAACGGTAAGCAGCTGGTTTGTTTTTTATTTATTAATTTGAAAAGCGCATTAAAGCTGAGATACAACTTAAAAGACGACAATACAACACTTACTATCACAATCATCAGCACTTTTAATAGTTTATTTTAGGGACTTATAATATGTTGTTGTTTTATTGGAATTTGATTCAAAAATGGCTGCTGCGGCATCTAGTGGCTGCTTCTCAAATCGCACTAGAGTGTCGCCTCTTGGTGATTCTATGCTCTGTGGAGAGAGTCAGCGAAAAATCACTTACATATACATTTGCTTCATATTTTGCCAGGGTGCCTGCCAACCTTTTTATAGTCTAAGGTGTTTTACAGTCTAATGTGATTTCATAACATTAAATAAAAGTACTACTTCATTTGTTCATTCGGCTCAGCCAAAGCGAAATAAATCGCCAACTTATCCAGCATATGTAAATATGCCAATCCCAATCACACACACCTGGGCTGGCTAATCAAGCTCTTAGGCTTTTTAGAAACATACTTGCAGGTGTGTTGAGGCAAATTGAAGATACAATCTGCAGGACACAGGCCCTCCAGGACCAAGTTTAGACACCCCTGCCCTAAACCCAACCACCTCCTACTGGACCAGTCAGGATCAACAGTCTTAAAAATGCAGAAATGCATTTCAGCCTCTCCTGTTCTCCTGTGCAGAAACACTATAGTCTGCTGCTGCAGCTTAAGTGCCCGGCTATTTCGACCTTATGTAGCCGCAATGAGTTCAGCCTGTCGTCACTACTGCTCTTTTGATTTGTCACTTTTTGAAAATACACATGAAATCAAAACTAACCATATTGATTTTCTTAGCTCACATTGTTAATTTTGTGATAAACAAGTCATCTGTGCATGTCATTAAGAACAAAAATAAATAAATAACCCCCAAAAATGACTGCTTCCTTTTTAGTGTCAGCGATGTTGTCGGAGATCTGAGAGGTGAGTTTACTGTTTATTTTAATACGGTAGCCTACATGTTTGTGCTGTTTGTATTTTAGCCCTAATATTTTGACGAATTAACCAATGCAATTTCATGCCATGTGTGGCACGGTGACTGATGCTGCATCCCAATTCGCATACTGACTGTATAATAACCTTGGATATAAATATCACGGTTTCACGGTATTAAGATTACTGCTCTGAAATATATTCTTTTTAAATGTCTGGGTAAAAACAAAACATTTTCCTCCTTTGTACACAATATATTTTAATATGCGAAACATTTCAAATATTTGGGAGCAGTAAACAAGTCAGGCTAAACCATTCATTCATTCATTTTCTTGTCGGCTTAGTTCCTTTATTAATCCGGGGTCGCCACAGTGGAATGAACCGCCAACTTATCCAGCAAGTTTTTACGCAGCGGATGCCCTTCCAGCCGCAACCCATCTCTATGAAACATCCACACACCCACACTCATACACTACGGACAATTTAGCCTACCCAATACACCTGTACTGCATGTCTTTGGACTGTGGGGGAAACCGGAGCACCCGGAGGAAACCCACGCGAACAAAGGGAGAACATGCAAACTCCACACAGAAACGCCAACTGAGCCAAGGATCGCTACCGTGCTACCCACTGCGCCACTGTGTCGCCATCTAAATAATTCAAATGAACTTTAAAAAAAAAAAAAAAAAGGAAATTAAAAATCTTACTCATAGTCATACCTTAAGAACGGTATAGCAGAATTTTTTAACGGTTTTAAAACCTTGACTTTTCCAAACTGCAGTATACCTAGAATACGGTTATCGTCCCAAGCCTACTACGCTCTAAAAGTATGTACTTTTTTGTGAAGGAAAAATAAATACTTTTGATTGTGCAAAAGTAGAGTATGCAAGCTTTGGGACAGACTACTTCCTCCTTAACATGTTATGTTGCTTATGAGCCCAGTCAATCATAAACATTTCTTTTATATTTAATCACCTACCTTATTGAAGATTCAGCTGTGTGTTAATCTGCCATTCACGAATCTTTCATGCAGAGAAATCTCCTCAGGTCTTTGGATAACAGCATATAGAGCAGGGGTCACCAATCTCGGTCCTGGAGGGCCGGTGTCCCTGCAGGGTTTAGCTCCAACTTGCCTCAACACACCTGCCTGGATGTTTTAAGTATACCTAGTAAGACCTTGATTAGCTTCTTCATGTGTGTTTGATTAGGGTTGGAGCTAAAATCTGCAGGACACCGGCCCTCCAGGAACAAGTTTGGTGACCGCTGATATAGAGGGTAATGTCCAAACATATCTTGACATAAGTTCATATTATTGTTGCAGATTAAACATAACATGGAGAACATGATTTAAATATGTTCCAGTTGGCTAGATAATAATAATCAACAGTCCTACAAACATCTTTTCTGAAGCCTCTCTTCCCGTTTTTGTAGTTTATTTACACTTTTCACCCACGTTTGAAGCTCTACTATTCACGTCCAACTTGCAATGTATAGATAGACGAGTTACCATGTTTGTAAACATTCCAGATGCGCGCACAGCGAGGTTGCTGAAAAAAACAGGAGTACTGGCATTTACAGCGAGGGAATAACATCCAATGTGGTACAGAGTTTGTTGTTGTCTTAGAAATAAGTAATATTGTTGATTACATATTATATATATTATTCACATAATGCTTTCAGCGTATTATAACAGCTCGTCACCCAATGATAAGCACAGTGATTCGGCAAAATTAATGTTAAAGTGAGAGCGTTCGTCTGACAGGTCCATTTGCGATAGAACCCTCCCAATGAATAATGGATAAGATGAAATGGCCAAGCATCCAGCCCCAAATATACAACTATCTGAGTGAAACTCCAAGTGATTTTACAAGAGAGATGTTAAAGGACTACAAGTCTTTGGATGCCTACAATGTTGTGTGTGGTCATGTGCAAAAAATAATGTTCCATGATGACCAGATTCAAAACTATGTAGTGCTAAAAAACGAGGTTCTGCCTAGCCAAAGACAAGAAGACGGAGCTGTACAAGGCCTGAGTAATCATCAACAAGTTAAACAACTGCATTCTGACAGCGAACTGTACCTGTTTGGCAGGGTATGTGAAATAAAATTTTACATTTAATTCTAAGCATTCAGTGTCTGCAGTTTAATTCACCATATGTAACTGTTTTGCTGAAATCATTGCTGCAGAGTCCAGCATTTTTAATTCGGTCCTCACTTCATTCAGCTTCCTTATAGCCAAAGACGTCTACGGTTGGCATTAAAAGCAGTGTGGTGTACGGTAAAAGTTACGTTTTCAATTTTTTTCGAATCTGGCATCCTACCACACAACACGACAACACGACTGTTTGCTATTGCAACCAGTCTCTTTTTGCAACCGAGAACCCGTGTGACGTCATCTGTGACGTAGGTTGGTAATTCCTCTATTGTGGGATATATTAGAGGTTAGGGCAGGGGTGGGCAAACTCGGTCCTGGACGGCCGGTGTCCTGCACAGTTTTGCTCCAACACTAATCAACCACACCTTAACATGGTAATTGGTGTCTTCAAGATCTCAAGAAATCTATAAGCAGGTGTGTTTGATTATAGAGTTGGAGCTAAATTGTGCAGGACACCGGCCGTCCAGGACCGAGTTTGCCCACCCTTGGGTTAGAGCAGGGGTCACCAATCTCGGTCCTGGAGGGCCGGTGTCCCTGCAGGATTTAGCTCCAACTTGCCACAACACACCTGCCTGCAAATTTCAAGTAGACCTTGATTAGCTTGTTCAGGTGTGTTTGATTTGGGTTGGAGCTAAAATCTCCAGGACACCGGCCCTCCAGGAACAAGTTTGGTGACCACTGGGTTAGAGTATGGATGCTTCTACACTTAAACTTTTTTTACCGAAAAATAGTAAACCATCCGGTAATCTTTGGCATACTCTTTTCAACATACTACGATTTGGGACATTAATTCTATTTTCAAATAGTACTTAGGATGCATAGTATGCCAATTGTGACGCAGAAAATATCTTTAAAAATGTCATATTTCACCCCTTTTTTCATAGCAGTACACTGAAAAAATTATTCAAAGATGATTCCTTGGATTTAATAAAAAAAGATTTACGTTAAGGAGTTGTAAACAATTTATTTGGGCTGAATTTAAACAAATTAAGTTGAACATTAATACATTTAATTTGTTTAAATTCAAAACAAATAAATTGTTTGCAACAGTTCTGCATGCAATACTTTTTTTCAGTATAGGCATTTTCCCTCAATCTTAAGGTATTCAAGACCCTTTAATGTGTTTAAATCCAGGGTTAAGCTGCCGTCACATCAGACGTCTGAGACGTTTTTCATGAGTCAGCTCCTCCATTACACTGATTCATAGATATATACACTAGATATCGCATAGGGACCCTCAGCATGCGTCAATAGCGCCGCCAAATTGGTACAGTGTTCCCAGGACAAATGTCATTCAACCGCACTAGTCAAGACAGTGTTATTACGTGAAGATGCGGGACTTTAGCGCTGTCTACGGGTGTAGTAACGAGAAAACAAAGCACAAAGGCAGAACATTTCATAGGTAATATGAAGTATTTTTTCTGTTTTTGAATGTTCTGAACTTTTGTGCTAATCAGGTAACGTTATTGATGATGACAGGTGACTGCATTCACCATACTGCAAAGCAGCTCCAACTCGCACTTAACACTCGGCTTATGCTAGTTTTGTTGAATAAAATCAGCAAACAATGCAAAAGAAATATGACAACGAGATGCTGCGCTGCCAGAAACTTGTATTATTGTCGGCTAACCTTAGTGAAAGAGTCATTCGGGGGATTCATTCACAAACGAATCGCTCTCTCCGTCAGTATGAGAAGTGAAAGCAGGAGAGGAGGAGGTGTGTTTCAGGACACGAATTATATTAAATTTAACAGGGAGGGTGAATAGTACATTTCTATACACACAAACACAAGCTTTTTGTCAGGAATGCCCATGCGGTCACTGATCCATCAATGTAGAAAAGTGATGTAAAATTATAATTTTCGTAATTAGAAAAAAAAATTACACACTAACATCCAGGAAAACTACCGATCATAGATATATGTGTATATGTGTATATCTCTGGCTTTGGATGGCCACAGTCCTCCACTGTACCTTGGTCCCGCATTCATTTCGAAGGAGCGCTACCCTGTAGCAAGATGGCGGCGCTATTGACGCATTCCGTCCAATAGACAACAATAGGCCAGGCGACATCTAGTGTATATATCTATGACACTGATTGATAACGCTCATTCTCTCAGATGTCTTTTCAGAGTGCTGGAAAGAATGCTGTTTTCTTTCAGGGCTGTGGCCGTGTGTTTAGTCAGATTTAATGTAGCTCAAACAATACCACTTGTAGGATCATGACCGAACCGCAGGCCTTTGGAAAAACACACAACACACTTCAAGCTCGGGTCAAGATCGCAGCATTTTATCAATTTACACCTAATTTTCATGTACCCAAATAACTCCGTCACATTTTACGTAAGATGAAGTTGACTTTTTAGCTTAACGTCTTTTAAAATATGTGCAAAGTCATTCTGTAATCCCAGTCCTGAATGTACACACGAGAAATCTCTGAACCTGAGCTGTGACAAACGTGTTTTTCGTTAACATATATAAGCTTTATACTGGTCATATATATAATATCTTAATGAGTGAATGTACAGTTATTATAACACATACACACATCAATGTATGAATGCTCGCATGGACAAATACAGTACGCTTCTCTTGAATGCTAAAACAGTCACATCTTAGTCTCCGGCATACAAAATAAACAACAAAATACATAAATAGTTTCCCTTTCAGTCAAGTGATTGCGTATTAAATACTGGCTGACCCAATAAACAGATAATACTAGAGTTTATGTACGTCCACTTTGGAATCTTGTAACGCGGTTTATTCCTCCACAGGTCGATAAGGCACTTGGATGAAGTATTCACGACCTGTCATAGAGCGAGGAGTTCCGGCATGGACACTACAGAGGTAAGAGGATCAGTTCGTGTCTCTCGGAGTGTCATGGATGTCCGGTTGTCTTTGCCTCTGTGTGTTTGGACGCCTCTGCTTTTGTATGCGTGTCGTGGGTCATCGCCCGGGGCAGGATGTTGGTTTAATGCAGTGGCCCTGAAACATGACCAGGCTGGCGGGACAGTGGCAGCCGGCGATGCAGGGCCTCTGACAGGGTCCGATTTCATTCCAGTTATGGCAGCTTTTAGTGCAGCCAGGCCCACATGTGTCATAAACTGCGCCGTGTTTGCAATGTGTGCCTACAGCAGGGTAAAAGAAAGAAACGAATTCAAGTTACATCAGGGTCCCTGCGGGGTTTTAAAAAGTATTAAAAAGTCCTAAATTAAAAAAATCGAAATTTATGGCTTTAAAAAGTCTTAAATTTGCTGTTCTAGGTCTTAAATATTTTTGCACAGGTCTTATTTTTGCGATGTCCATGTAACGCTACATCTAATGCTCATTTAAATAATTTTTGTTGTTGTTGCTAGGTTTTTGGGGTGTTGTAGTTCATTATTTCACAGGTCCAATTGTAATTTGCGGTATTACAACTACAAAAAAGTCAACTTGCAATAGCCAATCAGCTTTCTGTTATTAAACTCAGTGCGCGCGGCGAATGTGACGCCATCGCTGTGTTTGTGGAAGTTCGCTTTGAGTGCGCGCGACATGATTTCTGCTGGCAGAGTATGCCGTTATTTCACTGACAAATGTCGCAAGCGCAGTTTTATAAGTCGGGAGCTCTGTAATGCGAGAGAGCGAAATTTAAATAACTTTATTTTACCCCTAATTTTGTGCTTTTACATTTTCTCTTGCGAGTTTTTGATATTGCGATATAGGTCTTAAATTTAATACTTAATGGTCTTAAAAAGGTCTTAAAAGGTCTTAAATTTCACATTATGATATCTGCAGAGACCCTGTACATGTGAAGAACAGACACAGCTTTACAGAATTGTTAGCATTTACCCCTGTATATTTTTTCTGTTTAACAGAAATGTTGTTGTTTTTTTCAGCACAATTATAAATATATAGTTGAAACCAGAAGTTTACATACGCTCTAAAATTATATTAGCTATTTTAGGTCCGTTAGGTTTACCTAAATGATTTACATTTGCTAATTGCCAGAATAATGAGAATTTTTTTTTTTTTTTTTTTTATATTAATTTTTAGACAGTCAAAAGTTTACAGACATTTCCTTGGTATTTTTTTAGCTTTGCTTTTAAACTGCATAACTTTGGTCAAATGTTTTGGGTATCCTTTCACAAGCTTTCCATTAAACTTTGAGCACTTTACATTCAGAGATGTTCACACAGCTACATTACACATCAACTGAAGTAACTATTGTAGTGGACAACCCCTTTAAATTCAAATACAGTACCTACTGAGTAGTAGGCGGTTTCAGACGCAGCCCGTGTCTTTTGCTATCAGAAAGGGATGTTTTTGTTAAAAGATAGTTGCTAGGCAAGAGGCATGCATATTCAAAGGCACAGGAAAAGTGGCAGATGCTGAAATGCTATCTTTTGTGTTTTGTAATTTCAGTTTATTCATAAACAATCATCTTTATAAATATAATATTGTTATTTAATGATACATATCAATGTTATCATGAATTTGACTGCTAGTTACCATATACTACCCCCTGTATATTATTAAGACACTGTCACTTTACCATATTTACAAGCTTTTTGCACTATATACTGTTTGCATCTGCACAACTCTGGTTTGCACTCCTTGCCATGTGCCCTCATTGTAATTGTATCGTAAACAATTTACTTATATTTTTTTAGATTATATGGGTATTATTTTTGATTATATTTACTTTTTGATTATTATTATCTGTTCGGGACCTAGGGTAAACCTGAAAGTAATGCAATTTCAATTCTCTGTATGTCCTATACATGTGGTTGAATTGACAATAAACCTGTATGGAACAAAATCAATGCCAAAAGTATTGAATTAAAAAGCTTGTTGAATAGCACAAACTGGAAAAAAGACTAGACTTGAATTCCACGGTTTGTATTTTTAGGTCCTGAAATTTAACATATCTGTTTATTTAAGCAGTTAATATTTCAATGAAAAATATTTCAAACACGTTTTCATACTTGAAATAAATGATGATGATCCAGGATCAACAATAGTGAATTTACACTGTATTTAAATAATGATGGTCCAGGATCAACAATAGTGAATTTACACTGTATTTAAATAATGTTGATTCAGGATCAACAATAGTGAATTTACTCTGTATTTAAATAATGATGATGATCCAGGATAAACAATAGTGAATTTACTCTGTATTTAAATAATGATGATGATCCAGGATCAACAATAGTGAATTTACTCTGTATTTAAATAATGATGATGATCCAGGATCAACAATAGTGAATTTACACTGTATTTAAATAATGATGATGATCCAGGATAAACAATAGTGAATTTACTCTGTATTTAAATAATGTTGATCCAGGATCAACAATAGTGAATTTACATTGTATTTAAATAATGATGATGATCCAGGATCAACAATAGTGAATTTACACTGTATTTAAATAATGATGATCCAGGATCAACAATAGTGAATTTACTCTGTATTTAAATAATGATGATGATCCAGGATCAACAATAGTGAATTTACATTGTATTTAAATAATGATGATGATCCAGGATCAACAATAGTGAATTTACTCTGTATTTAAATAATGATGATGATCCAGGATCAACAATAGTGAATTTACACTGTATTTAAATAATGTTGATCCAGGATCAACAATAGTGAATTTACATTGCATTTAAATAATGATGATCCAGGATCAACAATAGTGAATTAACGCTGTATTTAAATAATGATGATCCAGGATCAACAATAGTGAATTTACTCTGTATTTAAATAATGTTGATCCAGGATCAACAATAGTGAATTTACTCTGTATTTAAATAATGATGATGGTCCAGGATCAACAATAGTGAATTTACTCTGTATTTAAATAATGATGATGATCCAGGATCAACAATAGTGAATTTACTCTGTATTTAAATAATGATGATGATCCAGGATCAACAATAGTGAATTTACTCTGTATTTAAATGATGATGATGGTCCAGGATCAACAATAGTGAATTTACTCTGTATTTAAATAATGATGATGATCCAGGATCAACAATAGTGAATTTACTCTGTATTTAAATAATGATGATGATGGTCCAGGATCAACAATAGTGAATTTACACTGTATTTAAATAAGGACAATCCAGGATCAACAATAGTGAATTTACATTGCATTTAAATAATGATGATCCAGGATCAACAATAGTGAATTTACTCTGTATTAAAATGATGATGATGGTCCAGGATCAACAATAGTGAATTTACACTGTAATTAAATGATGATGATGGTCCAGGATCAACAATAGTGAATTTACACTGTATTTAAATGATGATGATGGTCCAGGATCAACAATAGTGAATTTACACTGTATTTAAATGATGATGATTGGTCCAGGATCAACATTAGTGAATTTACACTGTATTTAAATGATGATGATGATGATGGTCCAGGATCAACAATAGTGAATTTACACTGTATTTAAATGATGATGATGATGATCCAGGATCAACAATAGTGAATTTACACTGTATTTAAATGATGATGATGGATGATCCATGATCAACAATAGTGAATTTACTCTGTATTTAAATAATGATGATGGTCCAGGATCAACAATAGTGAATTTATACTGTAATTAAATGATGATGATGGTCCAGGATCAACATTAGTGAATTTACACTGTATTTAAATGATGATGGTCCAGGATCAACATTAGTGAATTTACACTGTATTTAAATGATGATGGTCCAGGATCAACATTAGTGAATTTACACTGTATTTAAATAATGATGATGATCCAGGATCAACAATAGTGAATTTACACTGTATTTAAATAATGATGATCCAGGATCAACAATAGTGAATTTACTCTGTATTTAAATAATGATGATGATCCAGGATCAACAATAGTGAATTTACTCTGTATTTAAATGATGATGATGATCCAGGATCAACAATAGTGAATTTACTCTGTATTTAAATGATGATGATGGTCCAGGATCAACAATAGTGAAAATACATTGCATTTAAATAATGATGATGATCCAGGATCAACAATAGTGAATTAACATTGTATTTAAATAATGATGATGATCCAGGATCAACAATAGTGAATTTACTCTGTATTTAAATAATGATGATCCAGGATCAACAATAGTGAATTTACTCTGTATTTAAATAATGATGATGATCCAGGATCAACAATAGTGAATTTACTCTGTATTTAAATAATGATGATGATCCAGGATCAACAATAGTGAATTTACTCTGTATTTAAATAATGATGGTCCAGGATCAACAATAGTGAATTTACATTGCATTTAAATAATGATGATGGTCCAGGATCAACAATAGTGAATTTACACTGTATTTAAATGATGATGATGATCCAGGATCAACAATAGTGAATTTACACTGTATTTAAATGATGATGGTCCAGGATCAACAATAGTGAATTTACACTGTATTTAAATGATGATGATGATCCAGGATCAACAATAGTGAATTTACACTGTATTTAAATGATGATGATGATCCAGGATCAACAATAGTGAATTTACACTGTATTTAAATAATGATGATGATCCAGGATAAACAATAGTGAATTTACTCTGTATTTAAATAATGATGATGATCCAGGATCAACAAAAATTAATTTACTCTGTATTTAAATGATGATGATGATCCAGGATCAACAATAGTGAATTTACACTGTAATTAAATGATGATGGTCCAGGATCAACAATAGTGAATTTACTCTGTATTTAAATAATGATGATGATCCAGGATCAACAAAAATTAATTTACTCTGTATTTAAATGATGATGATGATCCAGGATCAACAATAGTGAATTTACATTGCATTTAAATAATGATGATCCAGGATCAACAATAGTGAATTTACACTGTATTTAAATAATGATGATCCAGGATCAACAATAGTGAATTAACATTGTATTTAAATAATGATGATGATCCAGGATCAACAATAGTGAATTTACTCTGTATTTAAATAATGATGATGATCCAGGATCAACAATAGTGAATTTACACTGTATTTAAATGATGATGATCCAGGATCAACAATAGTGAATTTACACTGTATTTAAATAATGATGATCCAGGATCAACAATAGTGAATTTACACTGTAATTAAATGATGATGATGATCCAGGATCAACAATAGTGAATTTACATTGCATTTAAATAATGATTATGATCCAGGATCAACAATAGTGAATTTACTCTGTATTTAAATAATGATGATCCAGGATCAACAATAGTGAATTTACATTGTATTTAAATAATGATGATGATCCAGGATCAACAATAGTGAATTTACTCTGTATTTAAATGATGATGATGGTCCAGGATCAACAATAGTGAATTTACTCTGTATTTAAATAATGATTATGATCCAGGATCAACAATAGTGAATTTACTCTGTATTTAAATAATGATGATCCAGGATCAACAATAGTGAATTTACACTGTATTTAAATAATGATGATGATGATCCAGGATCAACAAATAGTGAATTTACACTGTATTTAAATGATGATGATGATGATGATCCAGGATCAACAATAGTGAATTTACACTGTATTAAATGATGATGATGATGGTCCAGGATCAACAATAGTGAATTTACACTGTATTAAAATGATGATGGTCCAGGATCAACAATAGTGAATTTACTCTGTATTAAAATGATGATGGTCCAGGATCAACAATAGTGAATTTACACTGTATTTAAATGATGATGATGGTCCAGGATCAACAATAGTGATTTTACACTGTTTTTAAATGATGATGATGGTCCAGGATCAACAACAGTGAATTTACACTATTTTTAAATGTTTGTGATGGTCCAGGTACAACATTAGTGAATTTATATTTTATTTAAATAATGATGATCCAGGATCAACAATAGTGAAT